TATCGAAAGGGAAATTTTTTTCTAAACTAGACCTAAGGGAAGCTTACTATCGCGTGAGAATTAAGGAAGGGGACGAATGGAAGACTGCATTTAACTGCCCCATGGGGTGCTATCAATTCAAAGTCTTGCCATTTGGATTACAAGGGGGCCCTGCAGTCTTTATGCAATTAATCAATGACGTTCTAAGGGAGCACCTGTTTAAGGGGGTCCTTGTTTACTTGGACGACATTCTTATCTTTACTGAAACAAAAGAGGAACACGTTAACCTTGTCAGAGCGGTTTTAAAGAAGCTGCGAGCCGCCCACCTATATGCCAAACTCTCAAAATGCGAATTCCACCAGGAAAGGATAGACTACCTAGGCTATCGCATATCCCCATAGGGCATTGAAATGGACCCAGAGAAGGTCAAAGCAGTATTAGATTGGGCGCCACCCCGCACAAGAAAGCAACTACAAAGTTTCCTGGGCTTTGCAAACTTTTACCGCCAATTCATCCCCTCATTTGCCCAGATAGCCTTGCCCCTCACTAACTTACTAAAAACGAAGGGAGCATCCTCAGTAAAACCTAGCCAGCCACTAACATGGACAATGGAGTGCCAAGCAGCGTTTGAGAGACTAAAGAGACTTTTTTCTGCCGAACCAATACTAAGGCACCCAGACATGGACAAGCCCTTCGTAATACAGGCAGATGCAAGTGATGTGGCAGTGGGGGCTGTGCTATTACAAGAAAATGATGATGGAGTATTGCAACCCTGTGCATATATATCCAAGAAACTCACGGAAACAGAACAGCGTTGGCCCGTATGGGAGAAGGAGGCTTATGGGATACATTGGGCATTACTCATGTGGCGACAGTTCCTGGAAGGCAACAAAATCCCCTTCCAGGTGTGGACTGATCACAAAAATTTAGAAGCCCTGAAAACTTCCAGGAAACTCAATCCCAAACAAGCCCGCTGGTCCCAGCATTTTCACCAGTTCCAATTTAAGCTCAAACATTTACCAGGAAGAAAGAACTTCCTGGCAGATGCACTATCTCGCATGCCCCAATATAACAGCGCACGAACCACAGACTCTAGGCCAATAATGGCAGAGTCACAACTGGCAGCATCAGTAACCACAAGAACCCAAGCCAAAATAAAACCACAACTGGACAGCCAAACTGGAATTGAATTCAGAAAAAGTTTGGAAACAGATGAATGGTTCCAGAAAAACAAAAATGTGTGCACAATGAGAGACGGGTTGCCTTGGGTAGGGGAAAAGTTATATATACCAACAACTCAAAGAGTAACTTTCATGCACCTTTGCCATGACACAAAATCAGCAGGGCATTTTGGATTTGTAAAAACTTTACATTTAATTAAACGGCAATTTTGGTGGCCATCCATGAAAAAGGACATTGAAAGTTATATAGCCAGTTGTCCAAAATGTGCCATGGCAAAGAGGTTGCAAGGGAAATTGCCAGGACTATTGCAAACAGTGGCAAGTCCCTCAGCCCCCTGGAGAGAAATAGCCATGGATTTTATAGTGGAATTGCCAGAAAGCAATGGGAATACTGTGGTCTGGACGGTCACGGACTTGTTTTCCAAACAGGTGCATTTTATCCCTTGCCAAAAGATTCCCACTGCAAAAGCCTTAGCAAAACTTTTCATCCAACACATTTACAGATTGCATGGGGCACCCCAACGCATCATCTCTGACAGGGGGGTGCAATTTACGTCTGCATTTTGGAAGGAATTTTTATCCCTCTTAGGAACCACTCAGGGACTGACATCTAGCCACCACCCTCAAGGAAATGGGGGGGCTGAAAAAATGAACTCCGTACTTAAGCAATATTTAAGATGTTTTCTTAGTTTCCAGCAGACCGAGTGGGCGGACTTACTCCCTTTTGCAGAAGTTGCCTACAATAATGCAGTCCACTCCAGCACAGGTTACACTCCTTTTCAAATAGCCAGGGTCAAAGTTTCAACCCCATGCCAGAATTAACCCCAAACGAACCAACGATCCCTTCACTGAAAGAATGGATGGAGAAACTACAAAACACCTGGCCAATAGTCAGAAAAGCACTAGATGAAGCTAGGCAGGCATACAAAACACAAGCCGATAAAAAAAGGGTTGAGCCTACACCATTCATTATAGGAGAAATGGTGTACTTATCTACAAAATACCTAAAGTCCCTACAGCCCTGTAAAAAACTTGGACCAAAATATATAGGACCTTTTCCAATTAAAAGAATCATAAATCCAGTAACAGTAGAATTAGAATTACCCAAAAATCTCAGGCAAATACACCCAATTTTTCATTGCAGCTTGCTGAAAAGAGAGCATCAGTCACCTCTACGGCCAAAAATCCCCCCCCCACCACCTCCACTCATGGTGGAGGGTGAACAACACTTCGAAATAAAGGAAATCCTTGATTCTAGGAGATATCATGGAGCAACTCAGTACCTAGTTGCCTGGAAACACCTCCCTCCCTCACAAAACGAGTGGGTCCATAAACGTCATGTCAGAGCCCCAAAGCTATTGAAGAAGTTTCACACAGAGTATCCTAACAAGCCTGACTAAATTTTATACTTGTTGTGTTTTCTTTCAGGTGGATCTCTCTTATTTTTAAGAGGGGCCGGATGTCAGAATCCAATTATATTTCATCTTTAATTATCAAATATAGAAACTCCCAATTCTGCCTTCTCTGGATTCTGCCATAAGAGGGAGAGAAGGGGGAGAACAAAGGGGCTTTATGGCCCTCACTTCCTTCAGTATACTTCTAAGGAGCTGAATGCTGAATGTGTGTTTATTGTAACCTCAAAGCGTTAGCACCAAAGAACCTTACCATAACAAAGAAGGGTATTTGCCTTTCATGTAGTTTATCTGAAGTCTCCATCCAGACGGAAGAAAGAAAAAAGGGGGTGGAATTGTGATACCTGAAACTATCACTGGAAGGGGGGTTGATTGGGTGGGACTACTGGGGAACCCCTTAAAACCTTGAATGGGAGGGCTTGGACCCCAAGTCCTGTCTAGCACGCCTGCAACCACTTCTTCTTAATAAAGGATTCCTGTTGGAAGAATTATTCCAAGAGTTCTGTCTTCTTAAGATGCAAAGTGGGGTGGGTCCTTACATTGGCTCCACACTCGAGACAATATAGGGTAAATAAGTTTACTTTTGAAAGGAATGGAAAGAAACATGTATAAGGTTGTTCTAAGGGTGAATGAAGCATTAATAAATAGTGCTATCATCTATTTTTTCCTGCTTAAAAATGTCCTATTTTGACAAGAGGACGAAGTGATTTGTCTGGATCTCTCTTAGATCCAAGATGCAATATTTTCTTGAATAGCTAATGCAATAGTCAGTTTCCCCAAAGACACTGGCTTTACATCTACTCTAATCTACTCTAATCTACATCTAATCTAATCTACAAAACAAAGGAAGGAAATGCAGGAAGGGCATCTCTATCATCAAGTAAAAGGGTAAGGCCATGGGTTTGTGTGGAGATGGGCAAAATGTCAAGATTGTGGGGGGAGGGGTTTGACTGTTTTGATCCTTACTTTCGTAGACAGAGTAATTACTCATTAGAAGTTTTGTGGGTTGGGAAAAGTATATATCTGAAAAGTACATTTAGGGAAATATTTAACCTTCATCCTTGAACATATCAAAATAATGAAATGTCAATGAGATTTTATTTTCTCCCTCACCATATATACATTTACACATATATTTGTTTTCTGAGGTTTTCGCGGATGTTTGTATGTAGGTCTTTCGTTATTCAGGTTTTCTCCCGCGTAAAATTGGAAGTGTCTTGGTGACATTTCAACGAAGTCTCATTTGTCATCTTCAGGCTGGTGTTTTCAGCTTCATGCATGTCGAAACGTTGCCAAGACACTTCCAATTTTATATGGGAGAAAACCTGAATAACCAAAGACCTACTTACACATATATGCATATATACATATATATAAACACATAACGCACAAATACATACAGATAGTCCTCGACTTACAGTAGTTTGTTTAGTGATCATTCAGTTACAACAGCACTGAAAAAAGTGACTTATGACCATTTTTCATGCTTATGACCATAGCATGGGGTCACATGATCAAAATTTAGATTCTTGGCAACTGGTTCATATTTATGACACTTGTCCCAGAGTCATGTGATCATTTTTTGCAACCTTCTGACAAGCAAAGTCAATGGAGAAGCCAGATTCAGTTAACAACTTTATTGTCAATTTAACAACTGCAGTGATTCACTTAACAACAGTGGCAAGAAAAGTCATAAAATGGGACAAAATGCACAACTGTCTCACTTAGCAACAGAAATGTTGGGCTCAGTTGTGGTCATATGTCAATTGTGGTCATAAGTTGAGGTCAGTGACTACACACACACACACACACACACACACACACACACTTATATGTAGCTCACTTCTGTTCTGGGGGTTCCAAAATCTGCTTGGAATTAATCTTTTCCTCATAAACTTCAATGCTCACTATGGTATTCAGCTATTTTGCTCTCTTTTGCTTTCATCTTCTCTCAAGTTCTTTTTAAATCACAAACATCTCAAGAAAATATATATAGTGATTCTAAATGACAACAACTATATAAAAATCTACCAAGGTTCTTCTTTTCTCCAGAAGTGTTGGCTGGTATTTAAATGGGATTAATTTACCTGAGATCAGGATGCATACAAATACTGATCTTTGGGAAGGAAAAGAATGTTAAAATATTTGTCTTTTAAAAATATATTTGCCTCCAAGGAAAACATTACCCAGGTATGAAATGGATGATACAATAGTAATAAACATAATTTAATTACTAAAAAGGCATCTATTCCTTTTTAAAACAGCTCTTAATATAATAATTGCTTTCAAAGATCATATCTACGCATATTTATACTATCAGATTTAAGTAATGAATACTGGGTTGAGATGTGCCACGTCATATTGACACACAATGTACTTTGTACTTAATTTCAGAAAGAGAAACTGTATAGCTTCTAGAAGTAATCAGTCCTGCTGGTTTAGCATAAGGAACTAAAGAATTAAGAAAAGCAGACTTCCTTCCTGCTTTTTTTAGTGCGACTCTAGCAGTTTTATCAGTTACTTTATTAGCAGTTATTCATAAATTCCAGTTTTTAAGTTTTTTGTCAAGTTCAGTCGGAAGGAGAACATGAAGACCCATTATCTGATGAGCCTGTAAACTCGAATTTAGAAAGACATTTCAGTAAATGCAAGTGAGACAAACAAGGAACAATCATATTTTGGTAAGTTAAACCATTTTATTGGGAAAAAAGCCTTTTGTGTATATCAAATATATACTTCAGTAAATTACTGTTTCAAAGTTTGTTTCCTTCCATTGCTTCCACCAACCCAGAATTATAAATTGTAAATTTTGTACTCTGCATCCTTAAAGTATATCCCAAAAAGTTTACAGTGATACACAGCACATATAACACCATGGATAATACATGATGTCAAATATTTGACACATGTTATACCTCTACTACATGAGCTGACTTGCTTGCCTGTATGTTTCCACATGCAATTCAAGATCTGGTTGTCACCTTTAAAGCCCTTCATGGCTTGGGACTGGGTGGTTTCTACCCATAGAATTTGGTCTGACAAATCCCATCAGCCAAAGAATGTCAATTGGCAGGAAATTTGCCTTCTCTACCATAGCTATGCTTTCTGGAACATTCTCCCCTCTGAGTTGAGGATGCTGCTGACCATGTTGGCCTTTCATAAGGCCTTCAAAACCTGGCTTTGTGTCCCAACCTGGGGCCTCATGAGTGCAAAGGGCCCTGTTTCCTGAATAAGCTGACATCTGTGGTGACATTTTGTCTTGGTTACTTTATATATTTAATTTATATTATATTATAATTGTTTTTAATTCTTATATGATTGTTTGCATGTCACTTGCTTGAGATAGATGGCTATAGAAATTGAATAAAATAACATAAAATAAAATAATTATGTGTATATGATAGTGTATTTTAATAGTAACAAAGTCGAAACATATGTCTGGACAATATGAACACTCTAATAATAGCTTGTTTAATATCAGTTTGATTAAGAAGCTGCAGAAATCTCCAAACAAATTCTTGTATTATGTAGGGAGCAATTTCTGAAAGAAGATCAGACATTTTGAGTGGTCCCAAAGATAAAGACATATTGAATTTCAGAAGAATAAGTACCAGAGTTTGAGTGAAACCGAGTGATTTGTAATGAATTAAATATCCCCAAGGAGGGATGAATCTAGTAAATTACTGAAGACAAAAATAATGAATAAGAAGATATTATAAAGGTCATAAAGACAAATTTTTAAACTGTGAGTAACATCTGGAAGTATTTTAGGTGTGAGGTGAAGAAAGAGAGAGAGTATTTTACATGTAATTTAGACTGCATTCCTACAAAGACTTGATTTTTTTCAGTCATTTTATGTAGAGGGTTTCAGGGTAGAGATGAAGATGATGGGGAAGAATGTCATCAGAGTCTGAGTTTAATATGCTCAAATAACAACTTATGAACACATTTGGAAATAAACCTTTTAGTAGTTGATATGAGACAGTACCTTTTCTTTTAGATGTTCAGAACACGGTATTACCTTCCTGTTAAAATTTGAGGGGTCATCTGCATCTGATAATTTCTCACAGACTAAATGGCTGATCATCGAGCATCAAAATCTCACTAAAGTGTCTTCCAGAATGGGTAGCCATAATAAATGTAATAGAATAGAATAGAATAGAATAGAATAGAATAGAATAGAATAGAATAGAATAGAATAGAGCTGGAAGGGACTTTGGAGGTCTTCTAGTCCAGCCCCCTGCTCAAGCAGGAGAACCCATACCAGTGATGGCGAACCTTTTAGATACCGAGTGCCCAAAAACCACTTTGCCCCCTGCCCACCTACTCTGCTCTGCCCCCTGCCCTGCCTACTCCATCCCACCTCCTGCCCCACCCACTCTGCCCCCCTGCCCCCCACAGGGCCACCTACCACCTCAATGGCCCGCCACAGCAGATCGCCCAAGCGGTCCTGCAGCACCATGGCGGCCATACAGCACATGATATTGTGGGGCGTGGGGGCAGACTCTTGTACCTGCTGCCTGGCTGCCATGTCCTTGGCTACACTGCTCTGCACGGGCCACGACCAGGGGGCAACTCTCCAGGGGGGCTGCTAGTGAGGAGGGGGCCATGGGGGGAGGCAGAGCTGGGGCGATGGCACGCGTGCCCACAGAGAGGGCTTTGAGTGCCACCTCTGGCACGCATGCCATAGGTTTGCCACCACTGACCTATACCATTTCGGACAAGTAACTGTCTAGTCTCTTCTTAAAAATCTCCAGTGATGGAGCACCCTTGATTTCTGAAGGTAAGCTGTTCCATTGGTTAATTGTCCTTACTGTCACGAAATTTCTCCTTAGTTCCAGGTTGCTTCTCTCTTTGATCAGCTTCCAACCATTGTTTCTTGTTTCTTGTCCTGCCCTCTGGTGCTTTGGTAAATAATGTGACCCCCTCTTCTTGGTGGCAGCCCCTCAAATACTAGAATACTGCTATCATGTCTCCCCTATTTCTTCTTTTCTTTAGACTAGCCAAACCCATGTCCTGCAGCTGTTCTTCATACGTTTTAGTCTCCAAGCCTTTGATCATCTTAGTTGCTCTTCTCTGAACTTTTTCCAAAGTCTCAACATCTTTTTTGTAGTATGGTGATCAAAACTGGATGCATTATTTCAGGTGTGGTCTTACTACAGCTTTATAAAGCGGTAGTAACACTTCACATGATTTTGACTTTGTGCCTCTGTTTATACAACCAAGGATTGTATTAACTTTTTTGTTTGCTGCCGCACACTGCTGGCTCATGTTTAAATGATCACCCAAGGTCCCTCACACAGTTATTGTTTTTAAGTCAGTTTTACCTAATCTGTACTTGTACCTTGTACTTTTTCCTGCCTAGGTATAAAACCTTGCTTTTCTCCACATTAAATTTCATGTTATTGGATAGGGCCCATTTCAAGCCCGTCAAGATCTTTTTGGATCCTGAGCTTGTCTTCTGGGGTGTTGGCTGTTCCTGCCAACTTAGTGTCATCTGCAAATTTGATGAGATCCCCCTCAATTTCCTCGTGTAAGTCATTGGTGAAGATATGGGAGAGTACTGGGCCTAAGATAAAACCTTGTGGTACCCCACTGCTTACTTTTCTCCATTGAGGACTACTCGCTGAGTCTAGTTTGTCAGCCAGCTACAGATCCATCTGGTGGTGATGTTGTCTATCTCACCTATTTCTAGCTTACTAAGGAGCAGGTTGTGGTCTACCTTGTCAAATGCCTTACTGAAATCTAGGTATACTATGTCCACAGTATTTTGCTAGTCTTCTAATTTAGTCACTTTATCAAAGAATGAAATAAGATTGGTTTGGAATGATCTGTTTTTAACAAACCTGTGCTGGCTATTAGTTATAACTTTGTTTGCTTCTAGTTGTTCACAGATTTGTTATTTTATTGTCTTTTCCAGGATCTTCCCAGGTATTGATGTTAGACTGATTGGTCTGTAGTTTCCTGGGTCTGTTTTTTTTCCCCTTTCTTGAAGATGGGAATCACATCAGCCCTTTTCCAATCCTCAGATATTTCCCCGGTGCTCCAGGATTTTTTTAAAGATATGATGCAATGGTTCTGAGATAACATCTGCCAGCTCCTTCAGAACTCTGGGATGTAATCTGTCGGGTCCCAGTGATTTATATTCATCAAGGTTGGATAGGTTCTCTTACCATTTTCTTGTTTATTTTAATTTTGTTTTCTAATTTGTCTTTTACAGTAGTTTTTTTGGTATATTTTGGTATAATTTCTTTTTGTATGAAGACTGATGCAAAAAATAAGGAAAGCAGCTCTGCTTTCTCCCTACTGCCTGTTACTTCCTTACCATCTTCTCTCTTTAATGGGCCAACAGTTTCCTTGACTTTTTTCTTTTTATTAATATGTTGAAAAAAACTTTTTTTATTGTCCTCGATTTCTGTTGCAAGCCTTTGTTTATTCTGAGCCTTTGCTTTCCTGACTTCATCTTTGCATGTTCTGGCTGTCTGCTGATAATCAACCTTAGTTATGTGTCCCTCTTTCCATTTTTTTCTACTTGTCCTTTTTGCTTTTCAGTTTATCAGAGAGAGCTTTGTGCAGCCATGCTGGTTTTTTCTTGAATTTCCTGTTTTTCTTTTTCAGTTGTATTGTGCTGGACTGGGCTTTTATTATCATATTTTTCAGAGTTTCCCACGCTTCTTGAGTTGTTTTTCCCTTTAGGCTTTTTGTCCATGGAATCTTTCCTAGGTTCTCTCTGAGTTTGTTAAAATCAGCTCTTTTGAAGTTTAAGACACTGGTTGGGTTATTTTCTATTGCTTGTGTTTGCATTATATTGAATTTCAGTATGATAGGTCACTTTCACCCAAGGTTCCGGCAACTTCAACTCCCTCTATCACTTCTTTATTAGTAAGAATTAGGTCCAGTATAGCTTTACTTCTAGTTCCCTCCTCCTCCTTTTGGATGATAAAGTTGTCAGCTAGGTTGGTTAAGAATGTATTTGATGTCCTACTTGCTGCAGAGTTTGTCTCCCAGTTGATATCAGGATAGTTAAAGTCTCCCATTACTACCGTGATATGCTTCCTACCTACATTTGTTAACTGCTTGGCAAAGAGTCTATCTACTTCTTCTGATTGGTTGGGTGGCCTGTTGTATACCACTATGCAATGTCCCTTTTTTCCTTTTATATTGACCCATATAGATTCTGGAGGGCTTTTATCTTTGATCATGTGCATTTCTGTAGATATGTAGTATTCTCTTACATATTGTGCAAATCCCCCTTCTCTTTTGTAGTTCTGTTTCTTTTGAACAATTTGTATCCATCCATCAGTCCATTCCAGTCATGGGTTTCATCCCACCAGGTTTCTGTAATGCCAACTATGTCATACCCACCCTTGTGTAGTGGACTATTGTTCCTAGTTAACCCTGTTTGTTCCCCAAGATTTGAGCATTAGTATATAAACATTTAAGACTTTTTTGTCTGTCCGTGGGTATGTTTCCTGGATCTCCTGATCGTTGTTTGACTTTTTCTTTTTCTCTCATCACTCCCTACCTCTTTGTTTGATTTGTTTTCTTGGGATTTGTAACTGGTTTTGTATTCTAGAGACTCTAAAGATTGATCACCCTTCCCCCTCAATTTTAGTTTAAAGCCCTTCTAATGAATTGGGCCAGTCTTTTTCCGAGTACATTTTTCCCTGTTTTCATGAGA